CCTAATACATAGAAACAAACACAGGGAAGCAGCCAAACTGCTGAGATTAAGAAACATGCCGCAAATGAAAATATCCAGAAAAAGAACTAAATGAATTGGAAGCAAACAAACTACTAGATAGAGTTCAAAAAGTGTTTATAAGGATGCTCAAGGATCTTAATGACAGCTTTAAAGGACTTAGTAAAAATTTCAAGGATCTTAGTGAGAACATCAAAGACAACAAAAAGGGCTAACCATAAATTATGGATACACTAACTGAAATAAAGAGTAATTTACAGGGAATCAACAGTAGAGTAGAGGATGTCAGGAATCAAATCAGCAATTTGGGAAATGAGGAAGCAAAAACACCTATTCAGAAGAGCAAAAGGAAGAAAGAATAGAAATGTATGAAGATAGTGTAAGGAGCCTCTGGGACAACTTCAAGCATAGCAACATTCACATTATGGGGGTCCCAGAAGGAGAAGAGAGAGCAAGATACTGAAAACCTATTTGAAGAAATAATAGCAGAAAATTTCCCCCACCGGGTGAAAGAAATACAATAGACTTATAAGTAAGTCCTATTGTAGAAGTGCAGAATCCCAAACAAGAGGAATCCAAAGAGGCCCACACCAAGACACATTATAATTAAAATGCCAAGAGCAAAAGACAAAGAGAGAATATTAAAAGCAGCAAGAGAAAAACAGTTAATTACCTACAAGGGAGCACTCATACAATTGTCAGCTGGTTTCTCAACAGAAAATATGCAGGCCAGATGGGAGTGGCAAAGAAATATTGAAAATGATGAATAGCAATGGCCTACAACCAAGCTTACTCTACCCAGCAAAGCTATCATTCAGAATTGAAGGTCAGATAAAGAGCTTCACAGACAAGAAAAAGCTAAAGGAGTTCACTACCACCAAACCAGTATTACATGAAATGTTATAGTGTATACTTTAAGAAGAAGAAGAAGAAATGATAAAAAAAATATCCTATATAATAAAGATGTGATATGCAAATGGCCATTACGCTGTGGATGGTAATAATTGGCCGCATAACGACCAGATCACGGATCAGCAGGAGGGTGAGGAAGTGAGCTACACATGGGCATCAGAGAGCTATAGGAGGGAGCAGGGCAGCAAGCTATGAGGGGTGAGGAGAGGACGGCAGCAAGCTACTGGCGAGCAACTTGTGCACGGACTTGTGCACAGGGCTACTAGTGAATAATAAAATGGCAATAAATATGTATCTATCAGCAATTGAATCTAAAAATCAAAACAGCCGAAACAGGTTTGGCTCAGTGGATAGAGCGTCAGCCTGTGGACTGAAAGGTCCTGGGTTCAATTCCGGTTAAGGGCATGTACCTTGGTTGTGGACACATCCCCAGTAGGGGTGTGCAAGAGGCAGCTGATCGATGATTCTCTCTCATCAATGTTTCTAACTCTCTATCCCTCTCTCTTCCTCTCTGTAAAAAATCAATAAAATATATATAAAAAGAAATAGTATTATTAAAAAATAAATAAATAATAAAATAAAAATAAATTAACAAGAAGTCTAATAAAATAAACTGATCAATAAACTAGAACCAGAGGCATGGAAACAAAGAACAGACTATGAATCTCAGAGAGAAGGGGACGGGGGGGGGGGGGGGGCAGGGGAGGAGATCAACTAAAGAACTTACATGCTTACTAGAGGCCCAGTGCATCACATTCGTGCACTGGGGCGGGGATGTCCCTCGGCTCAGCCTGTGCCCACTCGCAGTCCAGGACCCCTCAGGAGATGTCCAACTGCCAGCTTAGACCCGCTTCCTGCGGGGAGTGGGCCTCAGCCAGCAGCCAGACATCCCCCGAGGGGTCCTTGGGGCTGCTGCAGAGGCAGGAGAGGCTCTCGCCACCACCGCTGGGCTCGCCAGCCGTGAGCTCAGCGGTGGCTGTGACTGACTGGCAGGGGCAGTTCCTATGTTGAGCGTCATTCCACCATTCGGTCTATTTGCATATCAGCCTTTTATTATATAAAATATGCATTACCTACTAGCACAGACAATAGCATGGTAAAGGCCTGGGGTGGGGCAGGAACCAGATGGAGGGGGCAATTGGGGGATAAAAGGGAACATCTGTAATACTCTCAACAATAAAGATTTAAAAATAATCCTATCTCGCCCAAACCGGTTTGGTCCAGTGGTCAGAGCATCAGTCTGCAGACTGAGGGGTCCCAGGTTTGATTCCAGTCAAGAACATGTACATTGGTTGTGGGCACATGCCCAGTAGAGGGTGTGCAGGAGGCAGTTGGTCAATGTTTCTCTCTCATCAATGTTTCTAGCTTTCTATCCCTCTTCCTTCCTCTCTGTAAAAAAAATCAATAAAATATATTTTTAAATAAAAATAAATAAAAATAATCCTATCTAATAAAAGAGTAATATGCAGATTGACAATCACTCCAACACACAAGATCCCTGCCCCCATGTGGACACAAGATGGCCACCACAAGATGGCCAGCAGGGGAGGACAGTTGGGAGGGATCAGGCCTGCCAGGGAGGGCAGTTGTGTGTGATCAGGCAAGCAAGGAAAAGAAGTTGGGAGGCACCAGGCCTGCAAGGAAGGGCAGTTGGGGGTGATCAACCCTACAGGGGAGGGCAGTTATGGGTGACCAGGCTGGCAGAGGAGGGAAGTTGGGGGGCAAACAGGCAGGCAGGGGAGCAGTTAGACATCAATCAGACTGGCAGGGGAATGGTTAGGGGGTGATTAGGCTGGCAGGCAGAAGCAGTTAGGGGCAATCAGGCAGGCAGGCAGGTGAGCAGTTGGGAGCCAGCAGTCCTGGATTGTGAGAGGAATGTCCCAGATTGGAGAGGGTGCAAGCTGGGCTGAGGGACACCACCACCCCCTCCCACACCTCACCCCAGCCCCGTGCACCAATTTCATGCACCGGGCCTCTAGTAATAATAATAAAACAGGGTGCAAACTGCCATTCTCTGGAACATTTTCTCAATCTGTTGAGTGTTTGCTTTCCAGCAGTTGTCGATAGTTTGGGTCAAATAAACTGACAAAAATTCTCTACAAGTTTAACTGTTTCTCATGCAGACACATTAAAATCCAATCACTATATTAATGAAAGGTGGGGGCGGATATATTATGGAGAAATGAGTGATGATGGGAAATGCAGGCCTGAATCTCCTTGGTGAAGTCACCAACTCCGCAGTCCAGGGCAGACAGGAATGCGTGACAAGGTGGGGGGGAGGGGGGAGGGGCAGCCTCAGGGCCCAGATTTGTCTTCTGGAGGAGAAAGCTGCTCTGGCTAAACAATGGCCGTTCCCCTTGGTGGCAGGGAGGCCACCGGACCTGAGGGGAGCTGCCCCCAGCTCCACTGGCCCTGACCAGGGCACCACCATGCCACACTCCGGCTGTTCAAAAGCTGGACGTCTGGATCTTAGGAGCAATTTCCCATTTTTAAGTGTTGGAATGGATTCAATATTTTTGTTAAACATTCTGTTAGCAAATGATACATCTCTGCATACATTCGGGGTGGACCTCAGCCTGCGGCTCTGGTTGCTGAGCTGGGGAGGAGCTGTGCAGGATGTAGCGGGCATCGGGAGCTGCAGGAAAGCAGGCAGGAAGAGGAGATGGGAAAGCTAAGAGCCACGCCTGGGTGGAGAGACGGAAAGGGGGAGCGTTTGAAGGATGAGAAGATACTGAGGGGGAGGAGCAGGGAGAGCTGCGGCCACGGGAGGCCTTCGGCAATGCCCACAGGGGCCAGGGAAACGCTGAGCGTAAGGAATTTACTTCCCAGGTTCCGTAGGGTAGGCGGTGCCACGCGGGCCTAGTGTGGGGCGCAGGCGTGGCGGGGTGCATGTTGCTCGGATGCACCGGGAGCTGCCTGTCCACGGGAGAGACTGCAGGCGGGCGGCCGAAAGGGTTTCCCAGCCTTTTGGTTGTCTAATAACTCGGCCCCACTGTTCAGCAATTGCAAGGAGTCCTAGGCCAGACCACCCCCTGCCTCCCCGCCTCCCTGCCCGGAGCTGGGAGGGGCGGTCCAGCAGGGAGCTCAGCCCCGACAGGGCCCAGGCACCACCCCAGCAGAGAAGCGCCTGAGCCCGTCTGAGGGTGTCCCCTCGCTGCCCAGGGAGACACCCAGCCTCCTGCATTGTGCCCGCAACGGCGCCTCGGTTCAGCCTCTCTGCACAGGCCCTGCCGCAATTTCACGTGATCCAGCGTTTTCTCCCACAAAGACTAAAATCTCCACAAAGTAATGATTCTCTCTACCCTAAAGCAGGGGGGGGGGGGGGGCGGAGGGATGGTAGAGAGAGGGCAGCTCCTGCAGGAAGGGCTGCAGAGACCTCTCTGTTTCCCTGCCCGCCTGTGCGCCACCTGCAGAGGCCCCGGGGAGCCCCCAGCACGTTGGCTTGTGTGCATCCGACAGTGTTTTGCTCCCCTGTTTGCTTTGCAGGAGCTAAGAGAGCAGGAGCTGAGTGTGCAGGAGCTGATGGAACAGGAGCTGATGGTGGAGGAGCTGATGGTGCGGGAGCTGAGGGTGGAGGAACTGAGGGAACAGGAGCTGAGGGTGCGGGAGCTGAGGGTGGAGGAGCTGAGGGTGGGAGAGCTGAGGGTGGAAGAGCTGAGGGTGGAGGAGATGAGGGTAGAGGAGCTGAGGTGGAGGAGCTGAGGGAGGAGGAACTGAGGGTGCGGGAGCTGAGGGTGGAGGAGCTGAGGGTGCAGGAGCTGAGGGTGCAGGAACTGAGGGTGCGGGAGCTGAGGGTGGGGGAACTGAGGGTGGAGGAGCTGAGGGTGGAGGAGCTGAGGGTGCGGGAGCTAAGGGTGCGGAAGCTGAGGGAACAGGAGCTGAGGGTGGAGATGAGGGTAGAGGAGCTGAGGTGGAGGAGCTGAGGTGGAGGAGCTGAGGGTGGAGGAGCTGAGGGTGGAGGAGATGAGGGTGGAGGAGCTGAGGGAGGAGGAGCTGAGGGTGGAGGAGATGAGGGTGGAGGAGATGAGGGTGCGGGAGCTGAGGGTGGAGGAGCTGAGGTGGAGGAGCTAATGGTGGAGGAGCTGAGGGTGCAGGAGCTGAGGGAGCAGGAGCTGAGGGCGGAGGAGCTGAAGGTGGAGGAGATGAGGGTGGAGAAGCTCAGGTAGAGGAGCTGAGGTGGAGGAGTTGAGGGTGCAGGAGCTGACGGTGCAGGAACTGAGGGCAGGAGCTTGAGTATGGAATGGAGTGTCTCAACGCTGAAGGGCAGAAGGCACATGGCTGCAGAGGGTGCTCTGGCTGGTCCGGGCCCAGTGGGTGGTGTCAGAACACAAGGTCTATCTGGAAAGCAGCAGGAATGACCAGTGATTTTCTCAGGAAGTTTCTAAAAGTTGAAACCACTCTTGACCTGCAACTAAACTCTTTTCCATGCTTCTAACCAAACAGCAAACACCCCAGGCCCCACTGGCAATCCCGTAGGTGTCTTCCCCATGCCTCCCCCGCCCCTCCCCCTCCCTCCCAACACACATCTTCTCCCTTCTGTTTTCAGCTGTTAAGTCGCCCAAAAGCTAGGTCATGAGCGCTCACCACGTGCCAGGCATTTTGCTGGCGACAGAATAAAGGTGGGCTGTCCCCAGAGTGGTCTTGCCCTGGGGGCACATCTGTGTGGCACTGCCCGCCCTCCCCGTGAGCCGGTCCACTGCCCACACGGGGCTCAGAGAGGTCCTTGGAGGGAAGTGAGGGCTCAGGGAGTGGCCTTGCCCTGGGGGCACAGACCCCTCCTCCTGCCCGCTCCCTGTGCCACCTGTGTCTGAGCCCTGTGCCCCCGGAACACCAGCCTTAGCCAACCACGAGGCCGAGGTTGGGTGGTTTGCCCTGGAAAGCTTTAGCAGTCCCTGGCACCTGGTGTAGGAATAGGAAGGGGGAACTGCGACCACTGGCAGGGACTGCCAGGCATTCAGTGAGTACAGCGGGAAGAGCTGCCCTCCCTCTCCCCCCCCCCCCACCCCAGTTTTCTCCAGGTGAAACGTCAGCACTGCCTAACCATGGAGACCACAGAAGGCACAGAAACAGGGGTCACAACAAACACTGTGTCCTCAGTGCTCCCCACCTGGGAGCCCCCCACCCAAGCCACCACACACACAGCCCCCTCCTGGGCCAGAAGGGCCATGCCCAGATTGCCTCTCTCTGACCTTCCTGAGTTCACACGTCCGAAGCCCAAAGCCGTCTCCCTTGAGCTGCTGGGAAAACACTATGGAAATGGAGTCCAGGAAAGAAAACAGCCGCAAATGGAACGAAGGCCAGAGTGAGCAGATGTTTACTGACCACATCCAGTCTGGGCAAACCTAGAAAACAATAGAATGTCCAGGAAAATGCAAGCTGAAGGGGTGAGAGGCCAGGAATATCAAATCTGAGACTCTATGAAAAAAGGTAAGATTTGATCAATTTATCATATCACATATTTACTAGAAGAGTAAATCCCATATATCAATAGAATGCAAGACTTCCATAACTATAGCTAAAATCTAGCTGTGAGTGAGGGGAAATTTTGATAATTTGACTACTTAAAAAGTTAAAAGCAAAAATTCTTGTAAGGAAATACATAAGCAAAGTAAGGTGACAGCATTTCACAGACAAGGGGCTCACATGCCAACATATAAAGAGCTCAGAACGCGGGAGAGGACGCAGCTGAGGGCAGAGGGCCCAGCGTGGGCCTCGGTGTGTGTGGCTGTGAGCGGAGGCCACTGAGATGCAGGGGCTGGGGAGCTCCGCGCTCTCCTCACCGCCTGCGCCCCAGGCAGGGCCGGCCCAGGAGCCCTTCCTCTGAGCCGTGCCTGCGTGTGAGGCTGCATCTGACAACCCGGTGCCCCCACACACCCACACACGCACACACGCATACACATGCATACACACACCCATAGACACGCTCACACACCCATACACCCATACACATGTATACACCCACACACGCATACACACGCATACACACATACACACACGCACACACTCAGACACACATACCTACACACTCACACACACACATCCAGACACACACTCACACACACCCATACACACCCATACACACATCCATACACACACATCCATACACACACACACAAACATCCATACACACCCATACACACGCATACACCCACACATACACACCCACACACACCCATACACACACCCACACACACCCATACACACCCATACACACACTCACACACCCATACACACACACTCACACACCCATATATCCCGACCCTCGGGGCAACAACGGGGGTACGCAGGAACCACCTAAGAGAATGAAACAAACAAGGAACGCGAAAGAATGGAGGCAAGACAAGGTTCTGATCAAGCCTCAACTTTATTCTTTGAAATGGCTGTATATATACAGCAGAAACAAAGGGGGGCAGGGTTGCCTATGCAGAGGGGTCTTTGGCAGTGTATAATTGGTTTAGGCACTGAGTGGCAAGGTGGTAAGGTATCTGGCAACACAGGATTGGCTAACTGCCAGGGCGGCATAACATTCCAAGGTGTAACATTCCAAGGCTGGGCTAGCTCTGGGGGAGGATCAGGAAGGGGAAGTTTCAAAGATGTTAAGCGGCAGGTTAATCTTATCTTCTGGCCAAACCCTCAGAGCACCGCATAACTTCTGCTAGAAGGAACTTAATTCTATTTCCTTAAGACGGAGCTGCTTGTCTCAACTCTGATGGCTCCCAACACCCATACACACATCCATACACACACCCATACACACACACCCATACACACCATACATACACACCATACACACACATGCACACACATATACACATACACACACACACACACACACACACACACACACCCTCGTCCCTCCCCGCTGAGTCTCAGGTCGCCTGGGCCCTTCCTGTAGGAACGCAGTACAATTTGTTCCCCCGTTAATGTCTCCCGTCAGGTTAAAGATTAGACCGGATGGAGCCCAGAAGGAAAGAAGGGAACCCCCCCCCCCCGCCAGCTGACAAATTCAATTTCACAAATTCAGTTGTGAAAGACACGAACAGTTCACAGAAAGAAATGGCTCTGTGACTTACAAAAGGATGCTCAACCTTGCTTCTAAGAAGACAAAATACAAATCAAAACTATAAGGAAGGTGGTGTTTTTATCTGTGATATTGTCAAAAATCCAAGTTCCCAACACACTGTTGGCAAAGCTGTGGGCAGTCAGGTGCCGGGGAGCGCACACCGGGCGCCCGAGGGGCTTGGGGTCAGAGTATCTCGCAGTCATAGAGCATTCCTCTCTCATTCAGCAAAGCGCTTCTCAGAACTCCCCAAAGTCCCTGCAGACGTACGGGGGAGAGCTTGCATAAGGCTATTTACTGCAGCCCCAACTGAGAGACCAGGAGACTAACAGCCTGATCCTATGTAATACCAGCCTAATTGTAATATCAGCAAATTGTCCCCTCCACCTGGAGTTCTGCCGGGAGTCCCACCGCTTGCTGTGATGTGCGCTGACCACCAGCGGCGGCACTGGAGGCGCTCGGGCCTCGATGGCCCAGTGAGAGTGGGTGAGGGCAGAATGGCGGAACAGGTGAGTGAGCGATGCCAGGCCCATCGCCCACCACCAGGCACTGAGGGAGCCAAGTGGGGCCCAATGCCCCGCCCATCTGGGCACAGGGCCCCAGCTGAGGCGGCGGGGCGGGCGGGGCGACCGCTGCCCGGCTCCTCAGTGCCTGGGAGCCGGGAGGTGGCAGCGTGAGGGGGCCCCACAGGCGTGACTAGCGGCAGCGGCAGAGCAGGCGGCCGGGGGAGGGGAGGCAGCTGTTAGGATTTCGTGCACTGGGCCTCTAGTGTTACATATATTAACCCTAAAGGATAAGCCAAAAACGTTTTAAATGGCTTCCCTCGGGGAAGGAGGAAATAGAATGGAGGAGACACAGATAGAAATGAGGTTTTCCTGATCCACCCTGTTTTCATGATCTGACTTTGGAACTATGTAACTAATTAACATAATTACACACAAAATGAACTTAAAAAAACATGTCCCTAGCTGAATAGCTCAGTTGATTAGAGAGTGTCTTCCTGATGCACCAAGATTGCAGGTTCAAGCCCTGGTCAGGGCACAAAAAAGAAGCAGCAAGCGAATACATAAATAAGTGGGAGACAAATTGATGTTCCTCTCTCTCAAAATCAATTTTTAAAAATCCTATGTAATACTGTTCCAGGAGCCAGGAACAAGGGCCTCGCAGCAGGATGCCACGCCTTTCTTTGATATACAGAAGAAGCTGGGCATTGACTTAGACCGCTGGCTGTCAATCCAGAGTGCTGAACAGCCTCACAGGATTCCAGCTCGATGCCATGCTTTTGAAAAAGAATGGATAGAATGTTCACATGGAATTGGTGGTATCCACGCACGGAAAGAGTGCAATATAGAATATGAAGATTTATTAGAATGTCTGCTTCGGCAGAAAACGATGAAATGCCTGAGTGCCATCGTGAAACAGCGGAATAAGCTAATCAAGGAGGGGAAGTACACACCTCCACCCCACCACACGGGCAAGGAGGAGAACCCAAGGCCCTAAGCAGAGCAGCAGCTGGAGTCTGATTTTCATGTTCATCTTCTCCACTGGAAAGCTTATGTACTGACAACTTCTTTGTGAAAGTATCTAAAAATAAAGGATTGCTTCATCCTAAAAAAAAAAAAAAAAAAAAAAAATCCTATGTAATAAAAGAGCTAATATGCAAATGGTCATCATGCCGTCACACCATCACACAGGAACTCAACACCGGGAGAGAGAAGTGGGGACCAGTACCAGACAGGTACAAAGAAGCTCATGAGAGAGGAATGGGGACCAGCCAGGCTGCGGCCCAGGAGAGAGACAAGCCACACACTCCATGGTCCCAGACGCCTGCAGCTGCTGCCCAGGCGAAGCCATCCTGGGTCCTGGGTGCCTGTGGCCGGCCAGAGGAAGGGAAGCCTGAGTCCCAGGTGCCTGTGGCCAGCCAGAGGAGGGAATCCTGGGTCCCAGGTGCAGGGAGAGGCAGAGGCAGTTAGGGGCAATCAGGCCAGCAGGGGAGCAGTTATGGGGCAATCAGGCAGCCAGGCAGAGGTGGTTAGGGGCAATCAGCCAGGCAGAGGGGTTAGGGGCAATTAGGCAGGCAGGCAGGTGAGCGGTTAGGAACCAGCAGTCAGACATCAACTGAGAGGTTCCCGGATTGGTGAGGGTGCAGGCCGGGATGAGGGAACCCCCCTACACACACAAGTTTTGTGCACCAGACCTCTAGTAATAAAATAAAAAGCATTCCCTGAAAACCAACAGCAAATTACACACAGACCTCAGGTTACATTGAACTTAACATACATCATTTCGTGGTTATGCCCCAATTTCCCTTTTTTTTTTTAAGTTCTGTCATTTCAACACATGTACATAGGTGCTTTATGTTTTTATTATTTATTTACCACAAGTAAAGGTCAGGAATTGTTATCTTTCTTTTAAGTTTTTTCAGTTTCACTTCATTACTCTGTGTCTGCGCTCCATGTGAGTGACCTGGGTGCTTATGTAGGTGGGCTCTGACTGAAGGCAAAAATTGCTTCCTGTCGCCATAGGAACGGATCCCAGTGTAACCCGAGGACCTCCTGTGAAAGAAGAGTTTACTAGCATGTGCACAGTGGGTTAGTGGTGTAGTCTTAGATCTACATCAAACACGTTAAACCACAGTTAGTGATATATCCCTGGATCCTCTGTTTCTGTAGCGCTGGAGCAGAGTGAGTCTAAGTAAGTCTGTGTGCTGGCCCTTTAAGAGGAACTGCCTGGGTCTGCAGCAGCCTCAGTGTCACAGCCACAATCCCTGCTGGCTTCTACAGCCTAAAGTTACAGGACTTCTCTTCCCAGCTCTGAAACCCTGGGCTGAAGGGTCTGGTGTGGGGCTGGGACCCCTTGCTCCTTATGAGAGGTCTCTGTAGCCATGATATCTCTCTCAATTAAAAAATAAATAAATAAATAAACACTTAAAAAAAAAAAACAGCCAAGACCGGTTAGCTCAGTGGATAGAGTGTTAGCCTGTGGACTGAAGGGTCCCGGGTTCGATTCCAGTCAAGGGCATGTACCTTGGTTGCGAGCACATCCCTGGTGGGGGGTGTGCAAGAGGCAGCTAATTGATGATTCTCTCTCATCGATGTTTCTGGCTCTCTGTCCCTCTCTCTTCCTCTCTGTGAAAAATAAGTAAAATGTATATTTTATTTAAAAAAAACAATATATATATATATATATATATATATATATATATATATATATATATATATATATTTAAAAAACACACAACACATGTGGGTGTCAGACCAACCCAAATTCACCTGCATCCCTCCTACCCATCTCGATGTGCTTTCTTCTTTACTTCTCTATTGGTAGGACTTCCATTCAGCCAGATTTCAGGAGGTTCTGAATGATGGTTGTTCTATATTCTAGTTGTAATTTTTTAAATATCTTTTTATTGATTTCAGAGATGAAGGGAGAGGGAGGGAGGGAGAGAGAGGGAGAGAGAGAGAGAGAGAGAGAGAGAGAGAGAGAGAGAGAGAGAGGGAGAGAAACATCAGTGATGAGAGAGAATCATTGATCAGCTGCCTCTCGTAAGCCCCACACTGGACATCGAACCAGCAACATGGGCATATGCCCTGACCTGCAATCTAACAGTGACCTTCTGGTTCATAGGTCAATGCTCAACCACTGAGCCATGCCAGCAGAGCATTTTAATTGCAATTTTGATGTGATTGTGAGAGGTGGCAAGTTCTGGTATTTACCTACCCTGCCATCTTGATTCTCCCACAACTCATTCCTTTTAAAGAAAATATTTGAAATATAAAGCTGTATCAGATTTGTTTTCAAACTGTGCAGTGTCTCTTTCTTGTGCAATTACTACCCTACCGAATGTGTCTTTAGATGACGCTATCCTGGTGGTATTTTCCGTAGCAACCAAACTTGCCTGGTATAGTATGGGGCTGCATCCTGGCAGGGAAATTTAAATCAGGTTCTTAAAAAAGAAAAGAAACAAAAAAAAATAAAAAAATAAAAAAAAATAAAAAAAAAATAAAAAAAAAAATAAATCAGGTTCTTGTTGGTGCAAAGTACAAATTACTTATGTATGGGGTGGTAGGTTTTATCTTCACTTGTCTCTGATGCAATTTATACAAAATCATTGTTTTATTAACTGACTATCACTCTGTAATTGGAAAAAAAAAGTTGCAGCTTTTTTATTGACATCCCAAATGCTTCTAAGTAATTACAATTTTTAATTTAAAATAACCCATTCAGCAGAAACCAGTTTGGCTCAGTAGATAGAGCGTCAGCCTATAGACTAAAGGGTCTCAGGTTCGATTCCGGTCAAGGGCATGTGCCTTGGTTGCGGGCACATCCCCAGTAGGGGGTGTGCAGGAGGTGGATGATCAATGTTTCTCTCTCATTGATGTTTCTAACTCACTATCCCTCTCTCTTCCTCTCTGTAAAAAAAAAATCAATAAAATATATTTTTAAATAAATAAATAAATAGAATAAAATACAACTAAAATACAAAATGGACATTACCCATAACTACAGGAAAGTCGACTGATTGCAAATTCTACAACAAGAAGGAAAGAGAAAACCTGAAGGAAAATCAGAGGAGCTGTAAAAGCCTAAGGTACTGAGACATGTTGCGCACGCAGAGAGGATGGAGCTGGAAAGGAGGGGAAGGCTGAGTGCCTGGCTGGCGTTCCCTAGCGGGAAGGAGATAAAAGCTCCAGACTGTGCTGAACCCCAGTTCCGACTGCACTGAACCCCAGTTCTGAGGGAGACGCTGGGGATCCAGACACATAAGAAGGGAGCCGGGGCTGTGAGGCAGAACCTCAGGGGAGCGGCGAAAGGCAGTCCCAGAGGCGCGCACATTACGCGCAGAGGACGGACTGTTGACTCGGCTGCTACATTGCCCTGGCGGGAAGGAGACAAAAGCTCCGGGTTGCTCTGAACCCCACTTCCAACCCCACTTCCAACTGAACTGAACCCCAGTTCCAGGCTCATTGGGGGAGAGTCTAGACTGTTTGGTAGTGGGCGAAACTCGAGGGCACCTTTCTCTCAGAGGTGCTTGCAGCAGAGTACTGAAGGACACTGAGGAACACTGAGACTCAGGAGCCTCATAGGGCGGGGCTGACGGAAGTCAAGGCTGTAGGCTCAACCCTGAAACTCCGCCCCAGCCAAACTAAACAAAGAGACTTTTAAGGATTCCAACTCAGGGAAGCTGCGAAAATGCCGAGACAAGAAAACAAATGAAAGAAAAGGAGGACAAAAAGTGGATGGATATAGAGTTCAAAACCACTTATAAGGTTTTTCAAGAATTTCCTAGAAAAGGCCAATAAAATAAATGAGACCTATGAGGATATGAAAAGGGATCAACTAGAAATAAAGAATACATTGTGGTTCGCTGTCAGGCCTTGCGGAGCATGGAGGTGCTGCTATGGCTTCCAGCGAGGTCGGGTGAACGCTGGCAGCTCCGAGAATGAAGCCCCAGAGATTCCAGACAACGTGGGAGACTGGCTTCGGGGCGTCTACCGCTTCGCCACGGATAGGAATGATTTCCAGAGGAACTTGATCCTCAATTTGGGACTTTTCGCTGCAGGAGTTTGGCTGGCCAGGAATTTAAGTGACATTGACTTAATGGCACCTCAGCCAGGGATGTAGCCAAATAGATACATGAAACTCAAGATGTACTTGAACTTCCAAACACGGAGCCTCTGATCTGTGACCATCACAAGACTCGCCCTGGTGGCAGCTGAGGTTTGATACAGATGGCTGCCTTCCCCGCCCTGCCCACTTTCCTGCGGAGAGTACTCAGAATCCACTCTGGTCAGCAGTCAGGCTTCAGCTAACGTGATGTCCTGTTTTGTACAGTTCTGTACATAATTTCTAAGTTTCTGTAGAGAGTGATCTTTGCTCTTTCTTGAGGAATAACCTGATGGTATTTTAACAATGATCTGAAGAAAGAAAAAAAAAGACTGCACACAAAGACAGCCAAAAAAAAAAAGAATACATTGTCTGAAATAAAAAATATATATATATATATTATAAAGTCCTAAAAACAGAATGGAAGATCGCAAGAATCAGGTCAAAGATTTGGAACACAAAGAACCAGAAGACACTCCTCCACAGAAGCAAGAAGGCAAGAGAAACCAGAAAGTTGAAGATAGTGTAAGAAACCTCTGGGACAGCGTCAAGTGAACCAACATCAGAATTATGGGGGTCCCAGAAGATGACAGAGAGCAAGATACAGAAAACATACTGAAAGAAATAGTGACAGAAAACTTCCTCCACCTGGTGAAGAATTAGACTTAAAGTCCAGGAAGCGCAGAGAACCCCAAACAAAAGGAATCCAAAGAAGACCACACCAAGACACATCATAATTAAAATTCCAAGAGCAAAAGACAAAGAGAGAATATTAAAAGCAGCAAGAGAAAAACAGTTAATTACCTACAAGGGAGCACCCATACGATTGTCAGCTGATTTCTCAACAGAAACCATGCAGGCCAGATGGGAATGGCAAGAAATATTCAAGGTGATGAATAGCAAGAACCTGCAGCCAAAAATACTCTACCCAGCAAAGCTATCACTCAGAATCAAAGGCCAGATAAAAGAAAGCTAAAGGAGTTCATCACCGCCAAACCAGAATTATATGAATTGCTAAAAGGGGTTCTTTAGGAAGAGGAAGAAAATAAAGATAAGAATTATGAACAACAAATATGTAACTATCAACAAGTGAACCTAAAAACCAAGGGAATTAAAAATCTGATGAACAATATTAACTGTTGAATATAATAGAATCAGAGGTATGCAAGGGGAGTGAACTGACGATTCTCAGGGAAAAGGGGAGTGGGGCCGGGACCGGTTTGGCTCAGTGGATAGAGCGTCAGCCTGCGGACTGAAAGGTCCCGGGTTCAATTCCGGGCAAGGGCATGTATCTTGGTTGTGGGCACATCCCCAGTAGGGGGTGTGCAAGAGGCAGCTGATCGATGATTCTCTCTCATCGATGTTTCTAACTATCTCTCTCTTCCTCTGTGTGAAAAATCAATAAAATATATTTAAAAAAGAAAAGATGAGTGGGGGGTGTGGGAAGAGACTGAACATAAACTGTGCACCTATGGATGAGGACAATGTGGGATGGGAAAAGGGCATAGGGTGCGGTGTGAACCTGGAGGAGAGAAGCAATGGAGGGGGGGAAAAGTGAGGAACATTTGTAATAATATGAACAATAAAGATTTACTTTTTTTAATAATAAATAAATAAATAAATAAAATAACCCATTCAATTGTACACTTTACAAGGGTTAATTGCATGGCATGTGAATTATATTTCAATATAGCTGTTATCCTATATAATAAAAGCCTAATAAACTGAGAGTTCTACTAGGAGTTTGTTTATTTATTTATTTATTTTTAATTTTTTAAATATATTGTATTGATTTTTTACAGACAGGAAGGGAGAGATAGAGAGCTAGAAACGTCAATGAGAGAGAAACATAGACCAGCTGCCTCTTGCACACCCCCTACTGGGGATGTGCCCATAACCAACGTACATGCCCTTGACCAGAATCAAATCCAGGACATTTCAGTCCGCAGACCGACGCTCTACTGCTGAGCCAAACCAGCTTCGGCTCTACTAGGAGTTTAATCACTCACTATGACATGAACTGACCATTAGGGGGCGGCAGGGAACATGGCGGGCATTGGCAACATGGTGCCAGCAGCGGGCAGCAGGGGAGGTGCTGCCAGGCCCTCTGGGCCCCGACAAGAGCGGGACTGTTGCGGGTGGTGGAGCAGGTGAGCAGGTGGCACCAGGCCAAGGCAGGTGTGAGCAGGGCCCACTCGCCCTGCCCATCACCCCGCAGATGGCGACCAGCAACAGTGGCAAGGGTGGGGCTGCCATCCGGCTCCCAGGCGCTGAGGATTCAAGCAAAGGGGGGAAGGCGGGGACCTGGGGCCAATGTGCTGGCCAGGGCCCAGAGGTCAGCTGGGAGCTGCCCTTCCACACCAAAAGCTCGCACTTTGATTGCCTGCCAGGCCTAGGGACACACTGTGCATGGATTTCATGCACTGGGCCTCTCTCTCTATCTCTCTCTGTCTCTCTCTCTCCCTCCCTCTCTGTCTCTCTCTCTTTTCTCTCTCTCTCACTCTTCCTCTCTCTCTCTCTCTCTCTCTCTCTCTCTCTCTCCTCTCTCTCCCTCTCTCTTCTCCTCTCTCTCTCTCTCTCTCTCTCTCTCTCTCTCTCTCTATATATATATATATATATATATATATACATGCCTAAGTGACCATTATGACTGAACAACTGGTACAACCGAACGACCAGAACAACTGGTCACTATGATGCACAATGACCACCAAGGGCAGACATTCAACACAGGAGCTTCCCCCTGGTGGTCAGTGCACTCCCACAGCCAACCTCCCACAGCCCCTTCCCTCCCCCCAGCTGGCCAGTCAACCGCCCATGGTCCCTCCCCCTGGCCAGCCAACTTCCTACAGTTCCTCCCCCAGCCAGCCCACCCCATCATGGGTCTTGATCGCCAGCCAGGCTGAGGGACCCCACCTGTGCACAAATTTGTGCATCAGGCCTCTAGTCTTACCTAAGAATAGACAAACATGTAAATTGACCATACAGCCACTACGCCCACAGCCAATCAGGAGTGAGTATGCAAATTAATCCAACAAAGATGGCAGTTTAATTTGCATGTTCAGATACAGAGTCACCAGCCAGGATGGGACACCTGCTATGAGGAGGGGAGGGAGCTACAGGAGCCGTGCTCCGGCTGGGAGTGAGGATTTGGGGGCTCCCAGGCAGTCAGGGAGCGGGGACTTGGCAGCTACCAGGTGGCCGGGAGCGAAGCCAGGGGAAGGAAGGCCTATTCTTGCACAAATAGAGTGCACCGGACCTCTAGTTTAAAATAAAAGCAGAACTCAGATATATGTACATCCACGCACATATCAGCACTATCGCAATGCTAAATTTTTAAAAACCAAGGATAATAATAGTTCTTACCTCATAGTGTCATCATGAGGCCTAAACAAGAGGAGACTGGCTGTAGGAGCCGCTGGAGGCTGGGAGGGTAGGGGTGGGGCTTTAACTCCCACTTTAACTCACTCGCCTATGGTTTGGTTTCCTACAGCTGGAGTGCTTTCATAATTCAACAAAGCAGAGACGGGGCTCTGGTGCTCCCACGTTCCGGTCGCCTAGGACGCGGTGTCCACGCACAGTGCCGCTGGGTCCGCACTCTGGCCGGCCCCTGCTTGACCCCGTGTTTGTATCTTCGTGTGTAATTTTCCCAGATTTCCTCAGCTTTGCTTCCCTTCCTCCCCCTCCACCCCCGGTTTACTTAAGTCCATTAGTCACATTAGTCACAACGTCTGAAACCTCAGTCTGACCCTTTGTGCCAGGAAAGACCCCAGGCCCGGGGTGCTCCCTGCCCTCTCCCGCAGCCCTGTGGACCCTGCCCGGGTTCGAGTCCTTCCCCTCATGGAACCTTCCCCGGGGCTCTCCCCAGCCTCTCCGTCTGCCCCGGAGAGGCCTGCTGGCCCGGAGCCCGGCCGGCGGAGAACGAGCGGAAATCCAGGGGCTGGCGGCACCGGCTGGAGGCGGAAGCCGTTGCCTAACTAGGAAACTGATGCCAAAACCACGGTTCTCCGCGGCTGCCCCTCCGCTCAGAAAGGCGCTTCCCGGGCTGCAGGGCGGGGAGGCGGCGCCGTCTGAGCCCGCCACGTGGACGGCCGCTCCGCGCTGCGCTGACCTCGGCCGCCGCTCTGCTCCCGGGGCAGGAGCCCCCGCTGCGCGGAAGCCCGTGACAGCTGCCATGACGTCATCTCCGGACATTTCAACGCGAAGCAGCCAGCCGGCCTCTGCCAGAGCCCCGGCGGGCAGGCAGGCCTCTGGCCGCTCCTGAGGCCCCAGGGCTGGCAGGAACCCCTCGGCCCGGTCCGGTCCCCAGGGCTGGCAGGAACCCCTCGGCCCGGTCCGGTCCCCAGGGCTGGCAGGAACCCCTCGGGCTCAGTCCGGTCCCCAGGGCTGGCAGGAACCCCTCGGCCCGGTCCCCAGGGCTGGCAGGAACCCCTCGGTCCGGTCCCCAGGGCTGGCAGGAACCCCTCGGGCTCGGCCCGGTCCCCAGGGCTGGCAGGAACCCCTCGGGCTCGGCCCGGTCCCCAGGGCTGGCAGGAACCCCTCGGCCCGGTCCCCAGGGCTGGCAGGAACCCCTCGGTCCGGTCCCCAGGGCTGGCAGGAACCCCTCGGGAGCCCCGGGGCCGCCCTGGAAGAGGCAGCAGCCCGCAGCCCCCAAGCATGGCCGCGTCACCTCTGCTGACGGCCCAGCCACCCAGCGACCCACACCCAGCCCCGCTCCAGCCCCACTGCCTGGCGCAAGGCTCCGCTTCCCCGACCCGCGGAGCCTCCCTCCACCGCCCGCCTCCTGTCCCCTCTGCCCAGCAGGCCCCTCCTCTGCCGACTCTGAGGTCCCCACGGCCCTGGGCTCCTGCCTCCAGCAAGCCCTGGCTGGCCCTGCGGCGGCGGCGCCCTTCTCCCTTCGCTGAGCCACTGACGTCATCGCGGGGCCCAGCTGTGCCGAGCCGCTGACGTCATCGCGGGGCCCGGCTGTGCCGAGCCGCTGACGTCATCACCAGGCCCAGCTGTGCCGAGCCGCTGACGTCATCGCCAGGCCCAGCTGTGCCGAGCCGCTGACGTCATCACCAGGCCCAGCTGTGCCGAGCCGCTGACGTCATCGCCAGGCCCAGCTGTGCCGAGCCGCTGACAGGGCTGCGGCTCACCACACTGGGAGCCTTGAAGGCTGGGGCCGGCCGGGCCCCTCGCCTCCATACTCCGCCAGCACAGAGCCAGGCTCCCAGTAGACACTGGGTAACACTGGGTGGAAAGACTGACAGCCACGAGCACGTAGAACCCAAGCTTGTGCTTCAGCGACCATGGCAGATGGGGTGGCTGGACCTCAAACTGACGCGGTGTCCGCCTGCCTCCAGGC